TTCAGTAGAACAACAACTGCAGTCAGATGAGATGTTGTCAGGCCATATGAATGAATACATTTTCCTGTCCTGTCAGCTGTTATACTGTGCTCGTAGCACATGCTCTTCAATTAAATGCACAATTGCGGTGGCGTGCATTGTGTAGCCTGTATCATTTCATATTAAAGCGAGAATCAAACTACGAGCATGAGTGTCAGATCCGCATTATGTTCAGCAGTGGCAGCTCTTAAAGTAATAGCAGCCAAATAACCTAATAACCCAGCTGCTGTGACGTCTGTTAATCAAAGAACACAAGAAAAAAGAGGAAATCAATAACTTTTGTAGCTTTAAGGATTTCGAATGTAGTGTTTGATAACTTTATTCAATTTCTGTATATTTCCTACTTGCTGAAGGGCAAATGTAAATATGACATTTATTATAGTGGCTTTATGTGAAGATTGCTTTAAGTTCACTTAAATTAGAATTTGTTATTTTTTTAAAGTCTAAACTAGCTTTCAATTATACTGTAATGTTGAATGCCTATAGTCAATGGTTAAATGTTAGGGGGGGGTAACTATTTCCTAGAGACATCAGTAGTATTGGTATCAGTGATACTTGCAGTCAGTCAAAAAGAAAAAGAAAAAAGATGCCATTAAAGGGGTCATATGATGCTTTTTTTAAAGATCATTGTTTTGTGTATTTGGTGATTATTGCTGATTAAAATGCATTGCTGTTCTGTTGTAAGTAGGGCTGGGTATCGAGTTTGATACTTTTTAGGCACCGACCGAATTGCCTCGATACCATCGAGTATCGAAAAACGTCTCGTCGTTCAGTACCAAATGTCAATACCTAAGGGGTTAATCTCATCAGCGTCAGTGAGCCAATAAGCCTGCAGCACTAGCCGGTGTGTTCGACTAGAGGAGCGGCGCAGATCGATCATCCGTGACAGCGATTCGAATGCGCACAGAGCAGTCTGCTCTCTTTAGCTCTCGTGGTACTGTAATACCACCAGTATAGAGTAGCGC